TGCTGGGGGCACTGCATTCATGAACACAGTGACTTATTTGTGGATTTTGCCATTTGCGGGGGGTACGAGAACATATCCCCCACAAATGGCGAGGGTCTCCTGCATGCACACATACAAACTCATACATACGCACAGACACATTTGCATGCACATGCTGACATGCATACGCACATGCTGACATGCACACATGTATGTACATAGACATGCATGCATGCACACGTACACGTGCGTACATACACATGCAGGCACTTGTGCACACATCATGATGATGGGCGATCATTCGTGAATGAGTAAGATTGTTTTCCAAAGATAGTGAGTCCTCAGGTGGCTCCATAGCCCAATTCTAGATCCACATGACTTGTTGCAGTGAGGACAGGTGTTTCCAGGAGGGAACACACGCACACACACATGCACAGAGAGACATACATGCATTCATGCACATGCAAGCATATACACATGCGCACATACATGCCTGTACATATACACACGTACAGATTCACCTCCCCTCCCCCCCAATCAAAAGGGGAGCGGGGGGAAGATTTTGTTTTCTGAAACTAGTCCCAAGGAAAAATAGTTATGTGGCCAGTTCCAGTATGTACCCACTTCAGGAGAATAGTTTCCTTTCTTTTAAAAATAAATACAAATGACACAAACAAAGTAATGGAATGTTTTTGTTATTTAAGAGCTTGTGAAAGCTAAAACTTCCACTGAATCAAAGCTTTTGTCCAAGCATAAACTAGCTTTAACTCAGATGATAAAGATCCTTAAGCCTTCCTGTATAGAAAATAAATACCAATGCATATCAAAAGCTGCATTAATGCCTCCCCCCTCCTCCCCAGTGCAGTGACATTACTCTAAGTCCCCGTCTTTCACTCCAGTACAGCAGAGCACTGATGTGTGGCTTCTGTAGTGGTGGAATATTTCATAGTATTTCAGGCTTTACAACATGTTGTGTGTGTTTTGTACTTTAAAAGGATTCTTGTTGCCTATTAAAATGTTCCTTCTAGTTCTTTGTGGTTCACTGAATGAATGTTCTTATTTTGACAGTTGTTTTGGCTCTGACAGAGTGAACAAATCTGTTACAGATATGTTGATATCACGACTGACTTCTCAATTAGCAAAGGCTATGCGATTTACAGGTAAATCTGCATTGCAGTGTCAAGGTTTCATGGGTAATTAGACTTCCAGAGTTTGCTTTGCTAGAAAACATTACAAGTCACTGGAATGAGCCATTCATGCTGAAGAATAACAGGTCATTAATCCTGTTGTCTAGGCATACTATTAAGTTTCCAACATATATTGACAATATTGTGAAGTTTTCTTGCTGAATATTTTAATGTGATTTTACAGAGACTTGTTTATTTGGGAGCTGGATGGCTTAATAGTGTTCACAGTCTTTCTAACCCCCGCCTGCTTCATTCAAGGAGAAATTTTTTAGATTATTTTTAACTGGTTGCATTGTAGCTGATTAGGAAGTTTTGTCTTGCACGTCAAAAGTTTCTTTTTATCAGCTTCCTCTTTGGTAGGGTAAACTCTAAGTTTTGTCTGGGTTCATTTCATGGGTAATTAAACAGTTTAGCCCTTTCTTTCTTTAGTGAGTTATACTTTCTGAACATAGCAATACAGATAATTGCATTTTTAAGTATTGAAAGCTCAATAACTATTTACAATAATTCCAGTATGATGCTTGCAATAATACAACAGGTTTGGAATAGGTCAGGCTGTCCCACTGAACACACCAACATATCCCCATCTCAGACTCTCTAGGGAGTTCAACCTGAGTTCCTCCCATAGTCTTCGCTGGACCTAATGCATGACCCCAGTAGCTCATTTTCCTTGTGCAGGGACACTGCAGGCAGCAAGAGCTTTTGCTTCATGGAAAGAAAGGAAAGAAGCAATTGGTTTATGCTGGGCTCCTCTCATGCCCCCTCCCCCCCCCCGACCCAGCACTAGCAGCCTACATATCCCTTGACATAACAGCTTCTGGCTGCTGCAAGCTTATACAGTTAGTCTTGAACTTAAAACATAGATGTCTTTGCCACAGACCGTACTGAAGGTTCAGGGTTCAAACCCTACCAGTAGCACGTTATATGTTGGGTATTACAACTGTATACAGTATAATTTGGTTTTACTTTTTTCCTACATTAAAAAAAAGCTGGAAAATCCTGTAAACATCAATTTTTTTAGGTCATAAAGTTACGTATTCAAAAATTAGGGGTCATCAGATTTATGACACCCTAGACAACCTTAATTTCACTCTTGGGTGCATATATGCATTATGGTAGTCTTTAATGATGCGATCATGTGCTGTTTTTTTGATAGTACCCTGTTTCATTTAGTGTCCGGGACTGAATGGATGTACAAAGTACAGAATTACAGTTGCACAGGCGAGCATAAATTTGTCATTTCCTAACTTCCAAATGATTGAGGTTGCAACCTAATTTACTTTATTTGTATGCAGTCTTTTTGGCATCCAATTATAGTACTCATTAATTTGAAAGGGAGGGCACTTACTACTTATTCATGTCCTTTAAGCATTCTAACACTCAAACACAATTCTTGTTTTTCAAAGGACACTTTTTGCCAAGGCCAGTGTCTTCTGTTCTGTGCTCTGGTCCTGCGTCTGCAAACTACAGCACCCAGCCCTCTCATAACAATGGAGGCCAGCCTCACCGTTGGCATGCACTGGACCCCGAACTGGAAGAAATGTTGGTCCCTAGAAAAATGTCTATCAGTCCTTTAGAAAGCTGGCTGACAGTTAGATACTCCTTCCCTAAAGTGGAGGTCATCAATGTTCATAAAAAGATAGGCTATGAACCGACTCAGCAATATGACTGCCCCACATCTGAAGTGGAGGCTGATGTGGAGGAAGAGGGAGGAGACCTCAGTGGTAACAAGGTCGAGTGTAGAAACGTGTTGAAGATTCGCAGGCGGAAGATGAACCAGCACAAGTACAAGAAGCTGCGAAAGCGAAGAAAGGTTTTGTGGAGGGCAGTACTGGAAAATCGGAAAAAGAAACGTCAGGTGAGAGTGGGTTAAACAGAGCAGCAGATCAGTAAAAGCATATGCTTCCAAAAATGGGCTTGCACTTGTTTTACCAGTTTACATACATGGTCCTTTTTGTCTAGAACTGGCTTGTGAAAAACTGCAGCACTCAGTGGGAAACTTCTAAAATACAATGGTAAAGCTACATCTACATTTCAAATCCAGGCTCTGCCATAAGAATAGCTGCATTTTGAGAAGCAGAACAAGCAACTTAGATGCATATGTTGCTTCCTTCACAGAGATAGTACCTGGTGTTTGTTAAGGATACTTATATAGTGAAGTGTCTTTGTCTGTGTGTGTCACTTACAAGCTGTCTCACAGTTGCCCCCTTTTTCTATTTCAGATAAAGTTTGAACAAGCTTTGACTCACATCTGGAAAAGAGCCGGTTTGAAAAAACCTCCTGAGGAGTGGCAGACACCCAAGTTATTTATGAGAAAATCTAAGTGATTGCAATGCTTGTAATGTGTGTTGACATTTCATTTTAATTAAAGGTTATTTAAAATATGTGGACCATCTCTTAGCATTTCTCTGGATGCTGAGGCTAGAGATAGATCTGAAGCCCTGGTAAGAAATTTCCTAGTATAGCAGTCCAGGTAGTATTTGCTATTGACTTAATAATAAAATGACCATCTTGGAGGGAGAAAAAAGTTGGTAAAACTGATCCAGGTTAAAAAACAATTAATAGGCTCAGTGGCTCAAGAACAGATCCCTTTTTCCTGCACTGACGTCTGCCCAATCCACATGAAGAGGGAGATGGAAGTAAATAACAAATACCATTTTATTCCCAATCTCTTTACAACTCACAGAAATTGCCAGTGCTGAGAGTTTTTCTCATAACTGAAGTGCTGCAGTCGGAGGCACGAGGGACTGGGATGCTCCAAAACAGGTGTGTTGCTGACTGTTTCTCTTTCCTCTCTCTGTGACTGATAGAAACTTATCCATACAGTCTGGGAGTGGAAACCTGAACTGAGTGTCATCTTAACAAGAGTCCATGGCCACGTGATAACCTCAATGACCAGACCACTATTTCTCCACCTGGTAAAATGGCCTGTGAGTTAATGGAGAGGGAACTGGAGCTGATACCATTATTTTCAGTTTCTTCTATTAACTTAATTCCTTTTTAGTAAAAAAAAAAGAGATTGTAGGTTGTGGAAGTGTGTCTAGCTGAAACTGGAATCTCCACTTGAAACTAGACAGGATGGACAAAGCCCCAGTAAATATGCCACAGCAAAACAGTCCTGCAATGCCTGTAGAGTTTTTAAATAGTTCTTTCTCATTTCTAAGTTTTATGGCTGATTCTTACCTACATAGGCCATCTCAGCCTGGGAGATGCTGTTTAAAACTTTATTCCCCTTACACATCTCACTGCAGGAGGCCTGCTGCTTATTACTCAAGGACAGCCTGTGAATTGTGTTAATTCTGTAGCGGAATTTGGGCCAGAAAGGAAGTTTCATTAACTACAATTACACAACACTTAGTGCTTTTAAGTCACCTTGAGGCTTGATGTGCAGCTTCCTCAAGCAGAGGTGTCCCATGGAGAAGTCTTAGCCCAAAGAGGAAAAAAACATTCTTCTGAGGAGTATTTGTTAATACTTCCTCAGGCTGATTGCTGTTCTAGGAGCAAGCAATACCAAGTGCACCAGTCAAAGTTCAGAGCTGAAGGTTTATTAACAGCTAAGGTTTCCTTTTGCCTGCTGATCCCCTAATATCATCTGCCGGATTTGCATGGTTGAAGCAATTAGAGATCTGTATGGATATTTCCATCAGAGGAATGGATGTCTGGCCTCAGTTCCTAGTTTTAACTTTCCATGTGATACTGAGCCAAATCACTTTTCTTCCCTGTGCCTCATTTTCTTCCATCAAAGAAGTGAGATGCCTCATAGGAGACAGGCAATAAATACTTAGACATGTGAATGAGTATTCTCTAGAGAGAGAAGATTTAGCCTTTGTAATTTGTAGATGTGCTAGAAAGGGATAAAATAACAGTGGAATGGAGTCAAATTGAGTACATCCTTTTATTTTCTTGTAATCCAGGAATACACAGATACCTCATGAAACCAAAAGGTAAGAAAAATTGAAACAAAAGGAAATTTGAATACATGGTCTGCTGGTGGAATTCACTATTGCAAGATTATATTTGTAAGAGCCAAGGGGTATTTGGAAGCTATACCTTGTAGCCAGGTTAGACCAGCCTGAACAATAAAGTTAGACCATCCTGACACTGGCCAGGATAGGAACAACACATCAGATTAGGTAATGTACGGTAATGCTGTCGCGGTTTCCGGTATATCATCTTGTACCGCTGAAAGACCATCTGCTGGATGTGCTCGTCAGTAGATGGCAGTAGAGCCAAGACCCTCTGAAATTTCTTAGCAGTTATAGAAACTCCACTTCAATTTTATGGAAAAGTATGTATACAAACCACTAGTCTTTGACAGAAATATTGATATCTGAGAGCTGTATTGAACTGAGGTAATCCCTTGAGGCGCACGCATGAATAACACGTCTCTAGTTGTCTTTTCCGAGCTATGTTAGTAGTAGTAGGTGCTTTTGATCAGAGCTTTAAAAAGGAACTCCCTCCTCCTCCTGCTTAAAGAGAGCTATGTCTGCAGTTATTTTTAACCAGGTCGGACAGGACTTTTTTCAGCCAATTCTCCCAGGATTCTAACGAACAAGGGAAGTGCCAGCTCTCTGCCTTCAAAAGTTGCTGCAGGTAACTCAACAGGCAGTGCTGATTTGGGCTTTCAGGTGAGCGCTTAATATTCAGCATGCATCCAGCTGGTTCTAAAGAGCTGGTGCTTTTTAGAGCACAAAGGTGCCTCACTCCAGCGTTCTTCTCACTCGCGTCTCCTCTCTGAAGCAGGCACTAAGCTTATGTGGAGTGAGGTGCTTGATTTTTTTGCCCCTCCATTCAGATTCATGTTGAAGATCCCTTCTTTCAGCTGTTTTCCCCATTCCTGCTACCTCGGCTGTTGGCTTTGTCCTCTATCTTACAGCCTCCTAATTTAAAAAACGTTGATCCGCACATTTCTGGGGTGCTGGTTGATGCTGCAGCAGGTTGCCTTTAAAATTACGTGGGGCAAAAACGCGTCCAGAAACGGCAGTAACTAACCATGTAGCAGTTCTGTGCCGCTGCAGCGTTCTGTGCTTCTGCCAGCCTGCGAAGACTGAATCCTGGGGTTCCTGCTTTTACCCTAAAAGCTTGGACGTGCCATCCCGGCCACCAGCTGAGAAAGTTATTGCTTGTATCATTAGGATGTTCTAGTGTTGAAGTCCACCTACCCCAGATTTTCGCCTTAGCCTGCTTAATGGTAATATGTTAGTGCCACTAATGTGTTCGTGCTCTGCTGCTCTCCCTGTTTAACGTGCTGGCCATATTAAAACTCCACAGATATTGTAACCATTGCCCCCCTTTATTATTTCAGGAACTGTTGCAGGTTGGATGGAGCACTTCATGGGCTGTCCTGATCTCACTGTAATCTGCTATCTGCTGAGCGTGGGGTACAAAGCTCTCTAGTCTGTGTGAGGAGAGGAGAGCAGTATCTGTTGTTGCTACCTTGTGCCAGCAGTAGTTATTATGGGAATTTATGGCACTCAAGCTTTTTCAGTAGTCATGTGTTCTAGCTCACAGAGTGAGTGGGAGAGGCGATGCGTGTGATTCCCTTGACTTAACCGACCAGAATTAAAACAGCCTCCTGATCTGACAAGCCAGTCCTTCCCTGCTTGCTTTAACAGCAAGGCTGCTGCTTGGAGAGAGAATCCTCAAGGTCTTGAAGTTGCATAGCACAGACATCATGCGGTTTCTCTTCGTGTTCTCCTAGAACTGTGCTCTTTTGTTACATGGCAATCACTGGTTTGTGTCAGGGTACCTCCGCGGTGAATCCCGTGTCTCTGCTAAATAAAAGCCTGATTACATTCACCCTCCAAATTACAATCCAGCATGCATAGTCATTACCTTTCCATCTACTAAACTTAATTACACCATAATCCACAGGAGTATGGAAGTACTATGTGATTTACAAAGGTGTTTACAAATAAGCCCTAGTAAGTTACTGTATAATTAAGGACTGGGGACAAGACGTGCGCCCTGTTCTTAGCGGTGTGTTTTTTTTCACTGGGTTGCCTGATTAAATTTTACATTCCTTTCAGCACACGCATCTTAAAAGCACAGCTGAGGAGCCTTGCATTATTTCAGTGGCAAATACTATAGGGTCTCTTTTTCTCATGGACTGTAATCTACAATGATTAAAATCAGGTCGTTCTAGCTTTCTCCACTGTCAGATTCCATTTTCTACTCTTCAGTCCCTCATATACTGCGATCAGTCTGACACTGCTGCGAGGGGAGAAGAAATGGACACAAATACACAGAACTTTTATTTTCTCTAGGGGGAGCACTAGGATATATATTTAATTCAGGAAGCCTTTATTATGCTGCCATTCCAGAAATATATACACACCCATGCATGTGTGTGTGCACATTTTATATGTATGCATATCTGTGTAGCTATGGCAGCAGCTATGTAAGGAAATTCTTTGGCTCAGGCAGAGCAAGAGGTCCTCAGGGTTTCTCCTGTATGTCCCAATTGTTTCTCTGTTCTGAGAGGAAATGGTTGAACAACAGCAGGAGCCTGCAAGAGGAATCCATGTTAAGTATTACAGAGGCTGGAAATATCCGGTGAAGACAGTGTGATGGATGTGTGAAACTGGGACTCAGCTGTGTCTCAGAAAACTGCAGAATGTGAAACCAATTACACACATGCACACAATCCAGTGCTCAGGTTATGTATTGGCTTGAATACCGAGCGAAAACTAAGTGAGCTCTTGAGCAGAACATTGCATCCCATTCAGCTCAGTAGTTTTGTCATTTGGATCAATGCACTTACATAGATAGCTACCAGACCTGAAATGAAACTGCAGTTCAAATCTCAGGTTGAAAGTCATCAAAGAGATGTTAAAGGATCTCTGACTTTTCAGTCTCAGCAACATATAGTGAACTCGCTGAAATGGGCTTCTCCCAGGATTTAGATAGTTGCCCTGAGTCGGACCTGTGGCCAAAATGGCCTTTCTTAATGGTGATGGGCAAGCTCAGATGACTTAGGAGTTTCTCATACAGCTATTACGGATGTAGTAATGAGGTGCAGATTTAAATGTTTCCAGATGGTTCTGGTTTAGAAACTGGATTGCAAAATCTAGTTTTGGAGGAGGTTTCTGTTGGTTTCTGCTTGTGAACTAATAGCTGTTTCATTCAAACAAAGAAACTCAGGAGACTTCACAAGTATTTGGGCAGAATCTTAACTGATGTACACCAGCATAGTTTCACTGACTTCACTGGAGTGCAGCAAAGGATCAGGCCTGTCATATATATGGTGTGGTGATGTGATAGAGCTATTGTAGACTGGACTCATTGCCACTGGCTTTTTAACTACTGTATCACTTAGCCCTATTCCCAGCAGGTCTGCTTAACACAGTAAAAAAAGCCCTTTGGCGACCCCCAGTTCTCTG